GGATTATCCAGTGCGGGATAATTGTATAACTACGGTACCAAACCTCTGTAGGTTACCTGGTCCAGCGTGCGAATACCCTTAACCATACACCGATGTAAATGGCCGTGTTAGGATCGAGCCGAATATAATGTCCTCCAATAGACCTCGAAGATTAGACTCAAGTGCCGCAACTCTTGGGCAAGATAAGTCCTGGACTGGGATCCCATATGGAGACATCATAAACAACGATGTCTCATAACAGTCTGGGGAACACGTGAGGACGTTTCGAAATACAGTCGTCCTCACGAGATATTGTATCGTAAACAATATCTGAGATGATGAAATCTTCTACCCCTCCATCGAAAAGCATCACTTTTAGCACTTTGCGCGAAAGTGAAGAACGCGTTCAAAATAACGGCATAATTGGGCTGAGCTTGATTTTTAGGACATTGCGCGGCGCAGAAAGTGAAGAACGCGCGCCAAAGGGGCATAGCTGGACTGTGCGTGATGATATGGAGTCTGTGCGCGCGCGGAAAGGGTGGAATACGTGGAAAAAGGGCATGGACGGGCCAAGCCTAATCGTCTGGTCCTCCTGCAGGTGCGCAAAGTATGCAGAACACATGTGTGAGTACAATGCATCGCGTATCCAACTAACTTGAGCCCGAAACATCCCCTTCTTCGACGACATTATGCATTTTATTCACACATGTGTTCAGCATCGCAGCACCATGGATGATTTTTCTGGATGCTCTTCATCATCTTCTTTTCATCTTGAATACGTAGTGAATACATGTAAATATGTGCATTACACTTGTTTGGCGTCCTGTTTCCCTTTTTTCGGCTGACCTCAATCTCTATTTAGTTTATTATTCATTAAGGTGTGGATTTGTGACTGACCCCACGGAAGAAAATGTAGGCTGGACTGGCCTGATGACCTTCCCCAATCCCTGTTGAATAACACGTCACTGCCAACCACTTGAGCGAAGGAGGTGAAACCACATCTATAACAATGAATGGGTGTGAAAGCAGCAGCAGGAAAAAAAATAAACGAACTCACTACACTCATTTTCACCCATAACACGCACAGCCAGGAGAAAATTCCGGAATAACGCAGCTAACAAAACGTCCTAAACAAGTGTTTTACAGCTGCGCTGAAGCAGATTTCAAAGGAATACCTTTCTCATATTCTGCCAGAAGGACTGGACCGCTTGCCACCAGAAGCAACTCAGAAACAAAGAAACAGATACAGACTTGAAGTTGACTGAGAGCATCGAATTGAGAATTCAAGCATTGCATACCAATGTCTGTGTGCAAAAAAAAAAGATCAAATTCAAACTGCGGCACCAACCTGTCTTGTCGCGACCAATGTCCCTGGGTCGGTGTATGCATCGGCGGACGGGACACTTGGCCACGGCAGAATGTGGATATTGTAAGGGTCCACACACCCTCTAGGGGGATTGTCACGCCAGAATGCTCTAAGTGGCAGCTGACTGCTGCTGCCTGCCCCGGGAGCTGGTGAGGCCCTTAACCCCCTTAGCCGACGACCTTATTAACCGCGTTGAACATGATAAAGATATGACCGACTGTACGTGTTGTATATTGCTACATGACAGGACACAAGATTATTACTACTTTTATGACATATATCTACAGACATAATAATGGGACTAATACTACAATTATGACAACACGGTTATAAGATACTAAGGAGGAAGAATGAGACAATGAGATAGAGAGAGATGAGGATGAGATGAGGAAGGTCGGGTAGACCGCTACCAGGAGATCCAACTGGAAGGAAGCATACTGCCGGTCCGCCGGGCTCGTAGAAGGTGTTAAGGCGGAGGGAAGTGAGCTGATGACTTAAGGCGTAAAGACTCACATCCTTGACGGCTTCTCCGCATCCGGCTGCTCGGGACGAACCATTCACGACGACGACATGACGCAACACTCTGACGTGTCGAGGGCGCGCGGCGAGAGACGACAGACGTTAGCGTATTTTCTCACGCCGTTGGCGCCGGTCCATTTGAATCGTGAGAAAGCGTTCAATCGTGGCGTTGGAGCGCAGTTTCCTTCCGGCGCATACCATAACAGGATCCAGGTCGTACGTAAGTCACGACATGTCTGAACAACCGCTGAAAGTGATCCCTTGGCAACGCATTCCATGCTATTGTATCCGTTATAGCCGTGAACATCCAATTAAGTGCTCCCAATATAGTTCGCCGATCATTCAATTGGCCTGATATCTGGTTGAGTAGACTGGGAGGAAATTGGCTTTTTCTGCCACTCTTTATCGAATACCTCAAAAAGATAACTATTAGCCGAAAGCAGTCTAGTACCCATTCAAGAATAATAAATCAAGATGCCAATAAAAAGTACCAAAGAGTGCTGCCCGCACAGACGGCAAACTAGTAAAGGAGCCTTAGGCTGATGTCAGAGTCTGCGATCCGTCGCAGGTTAGGCTGTATACCGTAACCCTCTCGACGTTGCACTGGGGCGCGCAATGTCACGTGTCATCGATTTTCCATGTGTGCTCGGCACCCACTTATCGTTTTCTCTGCGTTCTCTCAACGAAGAGAGAATGCGTCGAGCAAACCGCCAACTATACTAAGCGCAGTTCGATCAAGAACGCGGAGGATAGCACGCGCAACGGTTTGGCCTCACGTAGGATGAGGCGGCACGTAGGGGATCACCTCCCCTGCTCGCGCGCGGAGCGCGCGCAGCATTCGCCTCGCCGCGCAAGCGGTAAAGGCGAATGCTGCGACGCTGCTCCATTTTTGGAACGCTGCACGCCGGTGTAGCGTCGTTGATCGTATTCGCTCGCAACCTAACAACGGCATCGCTTGCGGGAGGACTGCGACCGCGCCCTGGCGCTAATGTGGGTTACGGTATACATCCTATGTTCTGAACTTATAATCTTGTATTGTCGCGATTTGCGCGAAAGCTTGCAAGTGCCCCATTTGAACATTTGAAACACTGAATATGAAACAAGTGGAATCATGAGCAGTCGTCATTCAGCCATCACTATCAAGCAGAAGTGGCGGCGGATTGGAGAACACCTTGCAGTATTGATCGGGCACTTGTGATTTCCGTGACCCGTCGCGTGATCGCGAAATCGCGAAATCTGCGACGGATCGCGGACTATGACACCAGCCTTCCACGCTCCATATAAGACGTTTTACTTCCGAATGACATTGATTGCTTGGCAAGATCATTTTGCAGTTTAGTTTTAATATTTGTCATCAGGTTTTCATGATATTTTAGTATCTGCGCCTTGATTCGAAGTTCAATGGGATCGAATGCCTTACCTGGTCAGTTTTTCGCACTTCAATTGCAGAAATTGACGTGGCATTGACACATTGCCGATGTCAGACATCTGGCGATTGGAGGCGATCTGGTTCAAATGTTAATCGCGCGCGCCATGCGCGCGCTTTCGCGGCGACGATGCGCTGCGATTGACATGCTCCGCATCAGCCAATTATCGCTGCATCGCTCGATGGGCTCAGACGATCTTGACCGAGTATCGATCGATCCCCTCGATACGTTGACTGAGGTCAATCGATCGAGAGGGGCGCGCCAGCCACAACGGGAGTGATCGCGCCCATCGCGCGATTGGAGCGATTGGTCATGATGGGACTCATGTCAATCGCGCGATCGTCGCGCGAATCGCGCGATGGTCGCGCGATTGGCATTTGACCGATCGCTCCAATCGCAGACTCTGACATCGGCCATTACGCCAGGGCGCGTTTGCAGTCCTCCCGCAAGCGATACACGTTGTTGGTTGCGAGCGAATACTAGCCAGAATGACCGCTGCGCGGGCTCCGCGTGGAGCAGGGAGGTAATCACTACGTGCCACCTCCATATACTGAGCCAAACCGTTGCGCGTGCTATCCTTTTGGCGCGATGGTCGCGGATTGTCATTTAACCAATCGCTTCAATCGCAGAGCGAACACGCAATGTAGGTTTACTGTATACATTCCTAGTCTGACTATAATCTGTGATTGTCGCGATTTGCGCGAAAGCTTGCAAGTGCCCATTGAACATTTGAAACACTGAATATGAAACAAGTGGAATCATGAGCAGTCGTCATTCAGCCATCACTATCAAGCAGTGTTCGCGCAGGATTGGAGAACACCTTGCAGTATTGATCGGGAACACTTTGTGATTTCCGTGCCCGTCGCGTGAGCCGCGATCATCGCGAAATCTGCGACAGCTCGCGGACTATGACACCAGCCTTCCACGTCCATATAAGACGTTTTACTTCCGAATGACATTGATTGCTCACAGCTTCCTTGGCAAGAATCATTTTGCAGTTTAGTTTTCAATATTTATCATCAGGTTTTCATGATATTTTAGTATCTGCGCCTTGATTCGAAGTTCAATGGGATCGAATGCCTTACCTGGTCAGTTTTTCGCACTTCAATTGCAGAAATTGACGTGGCATTAATTTGTCATCAAATCAAGGGCATCTTTCATGACACGCGAATGCGATATCATCTATTCATCGAAATCTAGGCACGTGTGCCACGTCGTACACCTCGCGGGAAACAAAGCGCGTGTACAGTCAGGTAACTTATTGCGGCTTTGGGAGTAGACTAATACTTTGTACCCGTGCAAATAGCCTTAATCAGTGTGTGTTTTTCAAGGATATCATGGACTCTGACGGTCTCGATGGTCAGCAGCCCCACTCGAGTGTCCTCAAAGCTTGCCTCTTCCGTGCCCTTCCTTTTGCGATGAGAGTTGCTTCATCGAATCGAAATACTACGGCAGTTCGAGTCCCTCTCCAGTTGGGGCTTGCTGCACCCGGCTAGCAGTATGTCAGGTTTGGAGGCACGCGTGCATAATGATTTGGACGTACTGTAATGACGTTATATGACCTTGGCGCTCTACCACCGCTAAATAGGCGGTGTGACTCTCCTCTGCCGCGCCCTGCGTCTCTGCTTTCAAATCGGCCGGGCCTACTGGATGCCCAAATTCCAGACTCGCCTACTCCACATGCGATCGTCCGATGAAACTATGATGTGATGAATTCGCTAAATCAATCAAGTCAACCAACGAGGGTGAGCAGCGTTCTGCAAGATACTTGTAAAAGCTCTCCTATCCAGCTTCCCACGCATATAAGTTGACTCAAAGCACCCTCCATACCCACGTGGAGTACCATCCAATAAGGATGAGTAGGGGGCATGTGGTGCGATAATTCATAAAGTAATCCAGTTTTGCAGGGGAAAGAAGTTCTGGATGGCTAATGGAAGCGAAATGATTCACGCACCCCCGGGAATTTCCTCTCCTTGCAGAAGTCGGAACTTTGTAGGCGGCGGCAACTGTCGCACCACATGTTCACGTTCGGAGTTAGGCTGCTTTCATACTTTGCGCCGGTGGTCGGTGCGGACGGTGCGGAGAGGCGCGCACTGGCGCATGACGCGTACTTGGCGCGTAGTCGGCGCCTTCCAATCGATAAACCTGGTTTCGGTGTATCCCTCTACTCCTGTGCCGCGTTGCTTTCATTCGTGTGTTTTCTGCTCATACTTTTTTCTTTTTCCGACTGTTCGCCAATTACGCCTAATGCGGCAGCGTACTGACCCTCTTCACCGCCCGCGCAAAGTATGAAAGCAGCTTTAGACCCCCTGACTGCCTGCATTCTTGCAAATTCCCGGTTTTGCAGTAGAGAGCGCGACACCGCACGCTGCCGCGGCTACAGTCCCTCCCCTAGCCACCTTTGTATAATGTTCCTCTTTCGTCTGGGCTCTAGTGAACCACACCCGAGACCCCATGCCTCAAGTGTGGTTCACTAGGACAAGGCGAATTCGCAGCGCGAAACTTTTCGCTGCAGGAACCCCGGCGCCACTACTGACCTGTGGGTTCCCGGAGCGAAAAAAGTTTCGCGCTGCGAAAAGCGGAACATTCGACGTGTAGCGATCGCATCACTCCACCCTCATGCCTCAAAGCAAGTTTTTTTTTTGGCCGTCAATGTTGGTAACTTATTGCGGCTTTAGGAGTAGACTAATACTTTGTACCCGTGCAAATAGCCTTAATCAGTGTGTGTTTTTCAAGGATATGGCCGAAGGTGTTTCCACTATCCAAGAGTCTGAGAATACCAGGGAATCGTCGCCTGGAAAACTGGAGAAGTTAGTAGCTAAGAAAACAGAAGTTGAGGTACCTATACCATTTCCTTTCTTTTTATTGTGGTCTCTTTCTATTTTAGCTCGTATTGTATTTGTTTTTCTACTCTGGCTCGCACATTCTTCTTTGTTCTGCACACTTGAAGTGATTATGGAAGCTGTTTCTATTGAGGCACGCAGACACAATTACCGTTGACGTTTTTAGTTGGTTATTGACTGTAGCTGCATTGCCAAACCACTATATAAAGTTGCTTTCTTCACACGGGTCGATCGGTGAAGCTTCATCGGTGTTAAGTATTTCGGTGCTAACTTAGTTGGGGCGTCGTGCGTTGGTCGGGGTCGGGGCCGGGCGGTTGTGGGGGTGGGGCGGTTCGTTGTGTCGGTTGGGGGGGGGGGCAGACGCGGCGCGCGGTCTGTCACTTGGACGTAAGCAAACCAGCCCTTTTGGCACATCGGCTGGGACCGTATGCTGAATGTTGGGGAGGGGATGGGGTCCCCAACGGTCGACGGTTTACTTCAACTCGGTTGGTACGATAGGAGAGTACTGACGCAAGTGGTGCAGCTGGTCCAGTAGCTTCGCCAGAAGGACCTGGTCTGCTCACCCTTGGACTAAGCCTAGGAGAGGGGACGGACCCGTCCTCTCTTTAAGGCTTAGTTCTAAGGTAAGCGCCAAATTGTGGCGGTTCTAAGGACCGCGTTGAAGTTGTCCGTCCACCGTCGGGGACACCCATCCCCTCCCCAACATTCAGCATACGGTCCCAGCCGATGTGCCAAAAGGGCTGGTTTGCTTACGTCCTCACCTGGCTCCTGAACGAGACAGTGTAAACTCGAACATTCCAGCTTTTCACGCATGTCAAGTGACTGCCCCCACCCCCCACCCCCCCCTAGGCTGGCTACACTCCCCCTGGCCCACGGATTTCCGAACATGCCAGGCGAGCAGACTGCCGCGCCGCCGCGTGGCCCCCCCCAACTAAGTTAGCACCAAATTTCCTTGTTACGCTAGGAAGTAGCAAAATTGGCATGAGCACGGCGTCAAAATCGCCACTTTCCACAAATTTTCGTTTTTGCAAAAGAAATGCAGGCATTGACCTCCGTTTTTTGGTTTTCCCAGGAGATTTTTATTTCGAAAATAACAAAACTAGTGCTCACGCTATCATACAAAAGTAACTGAAACAAATAGCAAACGACAGGTTAAACGACAAAACCACTACACTGAAAGCGCTCATTTTGCCAAATGAATTTATCCATAGCTGCTTAGGATAACCTGGAGTGAAGAATGTCGAGGTAAAACAATAAGTTGTGCGATTTTTACTGACACTCGGTTTTATCACGGTGAATATGGCTAAGTGACTAGAGTCCGTTTCGATTTCTCCGCTGGAAATTGTGAAATTGAGTCCGCGAACAGTTGGTTGGGATCCAGCAATTCTTCGACGTGATCCATAACAATTTCACCACTGGTAATGAGTATAAGATATTCCGCATCCAATCATGCATTTGGACAGCCTTGGAACCTTTTAGGTGTGAGCAAACAGAGTCCTTTCCAAGAAAATTTCGGGATATACGGGGGGATGGGGATGGGGCAATAAAAGAGATTCACTCACTTTACATATTTAAAACGGAATAATTACACTTTGCCTAATTCGGCTCGAGTGGTCCCAACCTGAGATTGAAGAGCACATTTCATTTTATCAGAAAACTTCATAGTAGCCTTCTACATCGACGGCATCGAAGGATTCTCTCACGGGAACCTGTTTGAACTCAACTAAGTTCTCGACGAATCGTTGGCCATTACGACTTTATCGAAAGGGTGGTCGGAAGAAGTCTTGCATAATCAGAGCTGATGCTTCTAGAAAGCTACTCATCGATTAATCGGTTGAAGAAATAATGTGACAGCTTCAGGCTGGAGCGATTTGCTGACGTATAGGTCCCTTCGATTACGGTATGCCTCCTTGAGCTCGACTGTAATGGCAGATGACGTCATATTCTGAGGACGGTGAGGCAGCGAAGAAGGCCTGTTTCTGCTTATGGGGGGACATCTAAGGAATATTTGCTCTATAACTTTTATAAGCAGCGGCATCCAGTGCGACAAAAAGTTCGATGATGTGCGTCATAGGCAAAGTGACTTTTTGGCCCGCTTCCTCCCCCCTTTGCATATTCCGCGCGGTCGCCAATGTGTTTAGCAACGATTCTCCATTTTACATTCCGGGGAGAGAAGCTGTTTTCTCAATGAGCATTTGCCGCAAAATGTTTGTCTGGAAATTTTCTTCTGGAGAGCTGTCGCAAATGGTGGACATTTTGACTGTTTATTATCATTTTAGGAAGTGCTGACTCTTCTTGAAAATCAAATTTACGCTTTTGAGGGAGATTTGCTCAGCAACTCTTTCTACGGAAGTATTCTCAATGGTAATTCTTCTTTTCTTAACAGTTTATGGCTCTACGCGATAGTTCCCGAAGTAGTTTTAGCAACTTGACGACAGCGCGCTTTCGCCGCGTGAAACAGCGTAGATGTTGTGAACGCAGGAAGAACCTGAAGCAGAAAACCTAAAATGAGCACAGTACTATCTAACTATTTTCAATATAAACAACCCTGAAGGGATTTGTGCATGAATAAAAACTGCATCTAAAAGTTGTGATATCTCGAAGAAGCATATCGTGTTACCGTCGTCCCATGACAAGCGTGACAGTTTGTGGTACTAAACATCGTCAATCGTTTACGATGCCTGTGTTATTGTGGGGATGTAGAGGGATCAGATTTTTCGACTTCATCAGTCTTAGGCTGATGTCATAGTCCGCGATCCGTCGCAGGTTTCGCTGATTTTCGCGATTTGCGCGATTCACGCGACGGGTCACGGAAATCACAAGTGCCCGATCAATACTGCAAGGTGTTCTCCAATCCTGCCGCCACTTCTGCTTGATAGTGATGGCTGAATGACGACTGCTCATGATTCCACTTGTTTCATATTCAGTGTTTCAAATGTTCACACACTTGCAATTTTTGCGATCCGTCGCGTAAATCGCGCAAATCGCGAAAATCAGCGAAACCTGCGACGGATCGCGGACTCTGACATCAGCCTTACCGAACGCTCGATCTGTAATTTAGCTTTGAGATAAACTCTCATTTAATTCTATTGTCTTCCCGACAAAAAAGCATGTGCACCGTAAAGTTCATATTCCAGGATGGAATCGAGCTGCGTTTTCAATTTTGCCATCGCAGACAGATCCAGCATCATTGAAGAGAAACTTTCAAGATGACGAACGTATCTTTTCACGTTCATCTGTTGAATTCATGAAGCGTAAACGTCGTGAAGCAGTTGATCAGGAGAATCGTTCCCATGGAGTTGCCGCGAGACAGCAGAGAACGAGTACGGTCAGCTAGAGGGTTTTTTCTTAATCCTTACACTTTTGCTCTTAGGAACTTCTGAGAAATTTCTAATTTTAAATGTGCAGGGCGAAGATGCGCTGAATGAACTGCCGCGAAAAAGTGTATAGCTAAAATTTTTAGTTAAACCACTTCGTGTATTTTTGAATCTTTGCTGCGAATTAACTAAAAGCTAAATCGAAAAGCTCACATGAAAACCACTTTTCGTTGCTTATAATATCACATGTTACAGTCTGTAAATAGGGAGCTGAGCGGTGAAAACAATAAACGAACAAATGTTGTCATCAAAACTGAACCAAGGAGTCCAAGTCCGGAAAATAAAAGAAGCAAGCTGAAGTGAACATTAATGGAGTTTCCTACGCGCTCCAAAAATTGCTGACAGCCTCGCTGGCAAAAGGTAGCAACTCGTTGACCCCTACTATAACATTTGTTGTTTTGAATACTGTTGCCAATGACAGGTGGAATCGAGCTTGTGACTTGACAAACTGGATTCTGAAATCCAGATTTCTGTTTGGTGCTTTTATAATCATACATAGATTTTTCTCGTAGTAATTTTCCTTTTTTTTGGAAATTTGGCTTGACGAGTTCATACTTCTAAAGGAGTAGTGCACATCGGGTGTGGGTTGCTAGGACAGCGCAAAGTTCCACTGCGGGGCCCTCAGGTGTACTAGCGATCAGGCGTGCACCCAGGGTTCGCCGTAGCCGGACAAGTTTGGCTTTGCAAAAAGCAGAAAAGTGGCTTTGTTTCCTAGCGACACACAGCCGTGCAAATCAATCACTTAATTTTACAACAAGGCAGTAATGGTAATAACTTCAGAGATTAATATTGTTTTGTGTGTTTTTCAGTAAGTTTTCTAAGGCCTTGTAATATGAGTATGTGCTTTTTTCTCTTGCAAGGACTGAAACGTATGTGTACAGCTGAGAAACAATACTTTATGAACAAGAACGGGGAGCCTTTATTTTTCGTTAGCCACAACAAGTTTTTCGCTGTTTTTTCTTCCTTGGATGCGATTTGGATAAGAATTGTAGTGCTGCTTTGCATGATTAGTATTTTTTTCTGCAGTTATAAAATTTTTTGATATTGTGCATAATCACAGCATCAAATGGATGTGATTTCATACATGTATGGTTTATCTTAGTAGTTCTTGAGCATTTCCTGGTGCACAATCACCTGTTCTTCCAAGAAACTTGCTCGATTAGGTAAGAGAAGCTCAAATAGTTTCGCCTCGCATTTTTATGGGTGTTTTGCGTGTATTGCGATGCCTCGCAACTATCACTCAGCATTGTAGTCATAAGATACCTTAACCAGCTAACGAGATCACATGAGAGTGGCTATAGGCAGTCAGGTGTATTCGGTCAGCTATCCCTTTTCCCACTCCTTTGAGGCTATGTAGAAGTTCGAGATTGTAATCTGGGTCTGCAAATAGTCCCATTTTGCTGGGATTACATGAAGTTCAAATCAATTGTCAAAATATAATTGACGTGGGGGACAGATGGAAAAGATTGGACGCTGGTTAGTGGCTTCGCAGGCGCGCCGTGCACTGGACAACCTTCTTTCGGAGATAATCCGACAGTTATTTCCCTCGCTCGCCCCGGCTTGTGTGAAGAAACCGATTCAATGCCACGATTTCCCCGAAATGTAGGGTACTCTTGTCGCAAGAATCGGTGCTATGATTTGGTACCGAGATTCGAGATTTCCTTATTACGGCTTGGTCGATATTGATATGGGCATAGTAATTTATAAAAGGAATATCTTCGCATGTGTAGCGGCAGCTGTGCCGGTGCAGCCGAGAAATGCATTGAAAACCACAAGTGCATGAGGCGCGCACCAACAAGTGCGATCCTGGTGATTGTGCCGATTTGCCAATGCGCCTCCGTAAATTGCTGACGTCTCTAGGGAGCGTCCTCGACGAGATGGCAAAAGTCGCTGCCTAAACGCTTGCGACACTCGTGTTAAGTGATGTCGTGCATGTATAAATTCTGCCTTTTCCTCGACATTGCTTCCTATTTTCATTTTATTTCCTTCTATTTCTGTTGAGTGATGGGAGAACTCACTAAATTTGTTGATAAAACTTCCGGTTAATCAGTTCCTTTCATAGGGGTTTCGCTGTTTATTCTACTTGAATGTGGTCTTTACAAAAAAACTGGCCAACTGCCTCACTCCGGAGTGATGAACGGTTGGGATACTGTGCGCCAGATCCTATCTGACATTTACTCCCAGATCATGCGCATGGCATGCGGCCACTTGTCATGCCCATTTTCAATGATACTCATGTTAAATACTGGACGAGAATTATCGGAATTCGATCTTGTCGGAGTGTGTTCGCTAGCACACGAAGTGACCTTTAAACTTTTAGCAGCGCGGAACTTTTTTGCGGAAGCCTCAGTTCGTCGGTTGACGGACTACTTGAACCCG